TGAGTGAAGAACGATGCGGCCTGTTTCAGTGTCTTGTTTTCTCTTCTTGCGGATGTGCCCTTTAGTTTGTCTGAGAGAATGATGCGTTCCAGCTGCATCCCTGTCGCTACCAAAGGACGACGCAACTCATTCTTCTTTTTGACTGGCCTGGCATAGTATTCCCCCCCCATTGGATTGGTATAGGCCACATTTTTGTGAATCCAGGGTCTGTCACTGATGGACATTTGGGGTTGATTCCGAGTCTTTGCGTTATTGTGAATAGTGCGCAATAAAGTAGCGAGCAGTTGTCTGTTCGTCGTGATTTATAGGCAGCCATGATTTATAACCCTTCGGCAGGTATGATTACCCCAGCTAATGCGATGGCTGGATCAAATGGTATGTTCTATGTTCATAACTCTTGAGGATCGCACACACTGCTTCATAATGGTCCTTGGCGTTGAACTTTGACGTCTACAGTCCCAGAGAAACAGTTGTTGGTAAAAGTGTTCCTATTTCTCCACCACTCTCTCAGCACTCGTTGTTCCGACTTTTAATGATTGCCATTCGTGATTGGTATGAGATGGTACTCATTGGTGGTTGTGTTTTGATTTGCATTTCTCTGATTCAAGTGAGGATGAGCATTCTTTTCACCCTCGGGCTGGTTACACTGTTTCTGGACTGTAAACGTAGTTCAAGCCCATTGATGGAAGACGCAGTGGTGAGCGATTTCCTCAGGTCTACGAACTAGACAAATACCATGTTGATCCAGCCACTCCCATACCCTGCACGTTATGCACATGTACCCTAGAACTTAAAGTATAATAATAATAATAAATAAATAAATAAAAAGAATGAAATCATTAAATCTGCATCACTTAAAAAAAAAAGAATTAACCAAATATTTTTTCTTTCAATTTATTGCTTATTAAACTGTTTTCCCTTCACACTGTTATTGTTGTATCAGCTAAATACATGTGTTTAAGTCCATTTGAGTTTCTATAACAAAATATTTGAGACTGGGTAATTTACAAACAGTAGACATTTTTCGTTGATAGTTCTGGAGTCTTGGAAATCCAAGATCAAGGTGCTGGCTGATTCAGTGTGTGGTGAGGGCTTAGTTTTTCACAGAGGCACCTTCTGTGTGTCCGAACCTGGCAGAAGGAGTGAACAAATTCCCTTAGGTCTCATATATAAGGACACTAATCCCAGTCACAAGGGAGGGGCCCTCATGATTTAATCATCTCTTATTAAGTTTCAATACATGAGTTTTGGAGATGAAACCAATGTTCAGACCCTAGCATTCCACTCCTAGCTTCCCAAAATTTATGTCCTCCTCCCATGCAAAATGCATTCATTCCATCTCAATAGCCAGTATCAGCTCAAAAGTCTAAAGAAGTCCAGAGTCTCATCTAAATGTCATCTAAATCAGATATAGATAAGACTCAAGAAATGATTCATCCTGAGGCAAATTTATCTCAAGCTGTGAGCTTATGAAATCAACCGAGTTATGTGCATCCAAAATATAACAGTGGAATAGGCACAGGATGGACATTCCCATTCTAAAAGGGATACATAGGAAGGAAGAAAGGGGTAACTATTAGCAGTCCCAAGTAAGTTCAAAACCCTGTTGGGTGGACAACATTAAATATTAAGTCTTGAGAATAAACTTATTTGACTCCATGTCTCATGTTCTGAGAGAATTGGCCCAGGGTTTTGACTGCCAAAACTCCCTCATGGCATTTAGGCACAGCCCATGAGGTGCCCTCCAGTAGCCCCACGAATCAAGGAGGTGACCCTGGGCCCATAGCTCCACCAGACATTGCCCCAATTGGGGCTCTTTGAGGTGGTTCTGTCCCCAAAGCACCACTGTAAATTGCCCTGGTCGGGTTCTCTGCCATGGCTCCACCCCTACAACAGCTCTCTGTCTGGGTCCAAGGCCCTCTGCCGGGGGGTGGGGGGGCTACAAAGCTAAGTCATAATAGCTCCATAATGTGAAGTTTCAAAATGCTTAGTAGACTTTCAAAATACTTAGTAGGTCTTTCAGGAGGACACTCTAAGAACAATAATTAGCATTGAATGGAAAGTGATATCACATGATCTCACTTATATGTGAAATGTAAAAAAGTTGAATTAACAGAAGTAGCAAGTAGCAAGTGGTTACCAGATGCAGGAAGTGGGAGGTAGATGGAGGAAGGGGAGATGTTGGTCAATGGGTACAAAGCTACAGTTAGCTGGAGGAAGAACAAGGTGACTATATTTGATAAGAATGTATTGTACATTTATAGCAAAAACAGATCATTTTAAATGTTCTCACTGCAAAGAAAACACAAATATTTGAGGTTATAGATATGCTAATTGCCCTATTTGGTCATTCTACAATCCATGTATGTATCAAAATGTCAATTTGTACCCTATAAATATGTGCAATTATTATTTGTCAATTAAAAGTAAAATAAAACTTAAAAGTGAAATGAATTTAAAGTGAAGTAAAATAAAGTTGTTTATTTCCTGCAGGCTTTGCTGATATGGACACAGCTAGATGGTCTAACTCTAGAAGAGCCCTTTTTAGGGAGATAGAAACAGTAGAGCCATTTTGGTGGCTAGAATTGGCTAGAATTGACAAAATTAGAGATTTGAGGGGGCTTTAAATTCCCAGCAGGCCTCTCCTTTAAGGCATTTGCCACATTCTAAAGCTGTTCATGGAGGAAGGCTATAGACCTCAAAACAAAAAACAACAACAACAAAATTACTCAGGTCTAAGGTCACACAATAATTACATAAGTCGTAAGTTCTAGAGTCAGTGAGTTGGACTAACCTCAAATGGGCAGTTTGCAGTGTCTCCCCTGACTGGTAGTTGAACTAGAGATGTCTGATTTCTCTGAGAAGCAAAGCCAAGGGTCCAGATTTCTGGGTACTGAGGAGCCGAAATCATCGTGATTTCAAATAAACCCTTGAAATCCATATTCTTCGGGACAGGAACTAACCAGAGATAGATGAAGTTTTAATGAAACTTTAACCCAGCCTTGATCCAGTTAAGTTCATAAATAACAAGATAATGAGCCTCTAGTCTTTGATTAGCAAAGTGTTGATTCTCTCTTGTAGATATTGTCAAATGAAGCATCTAATTTTTAAAAATAAACTATGTCTAGCACACAACTAAAATGTAATGAATATATTTAAAGTATCAGTTTTATATTGTCACGACAATGCTATGTACCAAAAAAAACCTACTCAGCTTTAAGGTCATACAATAATTACATACGTCATGAGTTCTGGATTCAACGAGTTGGACTAACCTCAAATGGGCAGTTTTCAGAGTCTCCCCTGACTGACAGTTGGCCAAGAGATGTCTGACTTGGCTGGAATAAACTTGTGGTTTTGGCTCTGCTCCTTGTGCCTCGTTCCCCAGCAAGCTCGCATGTCCCTGTTCTTGTGAAAAGGACAGAGAAGCAAATGGGCAAGTTGCTACACACAGGCACTTTTCCAAGCCTCTGCTTGTGCCATTTTGCTAACATGGCCAAAGCCAGCTCTGTGGCTACACCTAGATTCAAGTGGCAGAACACTCTGCCCAGTGGAAGGACACTGAGAAGTTAAAAGGAGAAGTGTGAGGACAGAGGAAGGGGTAAAACTCAGTGTCCTGAGTGCAACAAATCCACCACATCAAGAATATGGTGTCATAAACCATAAATAACAGGGAGGAACACAAGAGCAACTTGTGATCAAACTACTGTATTAATTGATGAATTTAAAGTAACTGTTGGGTGCATTCAGAAAACAGAAGAAAGAATGTAAAAATATATAAAAATTCAGAAGATTTTCAACAAAGAACCAGAACGTACTAAAAGTAATTGAAATGATACTATAAACTAAAAAATAAAATATATGATATTAAGAACCCATTAAGACCTTGGAGACATGAGTAAGATAGCAAAATAGGAGGTCACCCCTCCTTTCCCCAATGACAACAAGAATTCTGCACCCATCTACAAATAAAAATCTCTTTGTGGGAGCCTTGGGATTCAGGCAGGAGGTTGTGAAATCCTAGAGTAGCTCAAAACCTACGAGTGTCACTTTGAGAGTGCAGACATGCACCCACATGGCAGATGCATTCACCATGCTTCAAGGTTTAGAATCAGAAAAGTCTCTGTCCTTTAAAGGGTTTGGCTCCAATCCTATTTGGCCTTGACCCTGCTACTGAAACTATTTACTAAGGGACCTAGGAGGAATCATGCACACTAGTGCCTGGGCAGACAGGCCTGCCAACATCAGTCTCAGTCTTGAATCCAAAAGATATTTTGTAACTCAGCTCCGACACCCCCTCAGCTGTGTTCCTAGCTTAGTACTGCTTGGAAATCTTGGGAGATGCACCTGGACAGGCTTGCCAGCCTCCATCCTATAACAGTTCCCAAATGGGTTCTGAATCTCAGCTCCAGACCCATCTTAGCTGTGATCTGGGAACAATTCCGATTAGGGAACTGGCCAGGAATATCACCCACCCATGCCACCAAGTCAGGCTTGCCAACATCAATCTTACAGCATATTGTGAATTAGCCCTGAAGCTTGAATTCATTAGCCTCTCCCAGCTGTGGTCTGGAAGCAATCCTGTCCAACTAGGATTCCACTGGGAGACATGTCCATCTGAGTTTCCATGGTAGGCTTGCCAAACTTTGTCCCAAAGTTGATCCTCAAATGGCCCTGGATCTTATGCCCCTTTTATGTAGAGATTGAGAACAGTTCTGCTTGCCTGGGGACCCAGAGGGAGACAGGTCCAGTGGTGTCCCCACAGGTAATGCCCTGACTTTGCTCCCATTATAGATCTTGAATAACCCTTAAAAATGGGCTCCAGTCTTTCTCAACTGCAGTCTAAAAGTAGGACTGCTAACCCAGGACCCCGCCAGGAGACATGCCTACTCAACTGTGTGGGCCCTGAAACAGCCTTGTATCTCAATTCCAGCCATCTCAATCATGGACCAGGGCAGTGCAACCACTCCAGGGCAGATAATCCAACCAGTGATCCAACAGGAGCTCTCTCAGAGATTCAGAAGAAGCCACACTCATCAGCATACTAGGTAAATTCTGAAGCAGAACATCATCTCAACACTAGCTCCACACACCAAAATCTTAGATATGGTCCAGTTCACCCAGGGACCAGATAGAACCCATGCCCATGAGAACCCCTGGAAAGAGGCCTGTTGATTATAGTGTCTACTGCTGACCCAAAATCAGTCACATGTACTGGATCCAATCCCACTCTACTGCCTACCACAGTCCCAGAGGCAATCTCCTTAACCCAAAGACCTACCTAATAGGAGAGGATTTTAACTTGGCACATCCAATCTGTAAAGCCTGAGAGATGAATTTGCTCCTTTCAATGTATGGACATCAGTGTAAAGCCACACAGATAACAAATCATCACACAAACATTATACCACCAAAGGAGACTAATAAAACTTCAATAATTGACTCCAAAGAAATGGAGATGTGCAGACTGTCAGAAAAATAATTCAAAACAATTATCCTAAAGAAGCTCAATGAGATGAAAGAAAATACACATAGACAACCAAAATTATAAAAATATTAAATGAACAAAAAAAGAAGTTTAATATGGAAATAGGAAACATAAAAAACTCAAGAGAAGCCCTAGAGCAGATGAATAATACAACAGAACTGAAAAACTCAGTTCTAATAGTGAACTTGATCATGCGGAAGAAAGAATTAGTGAACCTAAAAGTAGGTCACTTGAAATTAACCGATTAGAGCAATAAAATATATTGAAAAAGAGTGAAGAAAGCTTAGGAACTTATGGGACACCACCAAATATATGAATATAGTTATCCCTTGGTATCCACAGGAAATTGGTTCCAGAAACCGTCATGAATATCAAAATCTGCTAATACTCAAGTCCCATATATAAAATGGCATAGTATTTTTATATAACCTATGCATATGCTCACAATAGGTTTTAAATAATCTCTCCATTACTTATAGTACTTAACACAATATAAAAGTTATATAAATAGTTATTATACTGTATTGTTTTCTAGTATTATTTTTATTGTTGTACTGTTATTTTTATTGTTTTTGAAAAATATTTTCCATTGGTGGTAGGTTGAATCCATGGATGCAGAACAAGCAAATATGAAAGACCAACTGTATACAAACTACTAGAATGCCATAAAGAGAAGAGACAAAGAGGTAGAATATTTACTCAAAGAAATACTGTCTGAAAACTTCCCAAATCTTGGGAGCAATATGAATATACAGTTTCAGGAAGCTCAAAGCTTTCCTAGCAAGATCAATTTTTAAAAAGAAATATTTTGAGACACATTGTAATCAAATTGTCCAAAATCAAGAAAGAGAGAAAAAAGACTCTTGAATAAAGGAAGAGAGAAGAAATTTGTCATATAGAAAGGATATTCTATAAGGCTATCAGTAGACTTCTCAACAGAAAGTTTGCAAGCAAGGAGAGAGTAAAGTGGCATACACACAATTCTAAAAGAAAACAAATCAAGAATATTTTGCTCAGTAAAGCTGTCCTCCATAAATGAAGGAGAAACAAAGATATTCCAAGACAAATAAGGCAAGGAAGTTCATCACCAGGAGATTGGCCTTACAAGAATGCTTAAGAGAGTTATTTGGATTGAAATAGAAAGATAATAAGTAACTATGTGAAAACACATTAAGGTATAAAATTCACTGGTAAAGGTAGATAAATAGTCAAATTCAGCATACTCTAATACTGTAAAGGTGGTATGTAAATCACTCTTAATTTTAGTATAAGAATTAAAAAACAAAACTATTGAAAACAGCTATAACTAAAAACAGTTAACAGATACACAATATAAATAGATGTAAAAAATGCATCAATAACATAAAATTTCAGGAGAGAAATAAAAGTGTAGACTCTTTGTATGCAATAGAAGTTAAGATACTGTTAGCTTAAATTAGGGCATTATAACTGTAAGACGTTTTAATCCAAACTTCATGGTAGCCACCAAGAAAAAAACCTCTAGTAGATACACATAACAGAAAGGAACCAAACATATCACAACAGAAATAGAACAAATCACACAAAAAGGCAGCAAGGTTGGAAGAGTGGAACAAAAGAACTACAAAACTAAAAAAAAAAAAAAACTAGATGGCAGTAGTAAGTTCTTACCTGTCAATAACTACTTCAAATGTAAATGGATAAAATCTGTAATCAAAAGAGATAGAGTAGCTGAATGGATAAAAAGACAAGATTGAATAATATGCTCCCTACAAGAGATTCACTTTAGCCTTAAGAGCACACATAAACTGAGAGGAAAGAAATAATAAAAAAAAAAAGGTATCCCAACCAAATGATAACCACAAGAAAATAGAGGTGGCTGTACTTGTATCAGACATAATAAACATTATGTCAAAAACTGTAAGAAGAGACAAAGAAGGTCATCATATTATGATAAAGATGTTAACTCATCAAGTGGACATAAGAATTTTAAGTACGTATGCACCCAACATTGGAGCACCTAACTATGTAAAGCAAATATTAATAGATCTGAAGTATGAGATACACTGCAAGACAACAATAATAGATGAATTCAAGACACTTTCAACAATGGATAAATTATCTAGACAGAAAATCAGTAGGGAAACAATGGATTTGGACAACACTTTCTACCAAATAAACCTAATAGACAAATACAGAAAATTTCATCCAGTAGCAGTAAGATACACATTCTTCTAAAGTTCACATGAAACATTCTCCAGGAGATATCACATGTTAGGCCACAAACAAGTTTTAACAAATTTAGGAAGCTTGAAATCATATCAGCTATTTTTTCTGCTCACAAACGAATAAAAGTAGACATCAGTAACAGGAGAAGTTTTGGAAAATTCATAAATACATGGAACTTAAACAACATGCTCACCAACAGCAAATGGGTCAAAGATAAAAATTAAAAGTAAAATGTAAAAATATCTTAAGACAAATGAAAATGGAAACACAGGATAACAAAATGTACGGGATGCAGCAAAAGTAGTTCTAAAACTGAAGTTTATAGGATTAAATGCTCACATCAAAAAAGAAACATTTCAAATAAATAATATTGCACATCAAAAAACTAGAAAAATAACAAACTAAGTCTTAAGTCAGTAGAAATATGGAAATAAGAAATATCAGAGCAGAAATAAATGAAATAGAGACAATAAAGACATAACAGATGAATTAAACTGCAAGTGGTTCTTTGAAAAGATAAACAAAATTTACAAACTCTTAGCAAGACTAAAGACAAAAGGAAAAAGACTCAAATAAATAAAATCAGAAATGAAAGAGAAGATATTACAAATATTACCACTAAAATACAAAATATCATGACACTACAATGAACAATTAGAGTTACACATCAACTTCGATAATCTAGAAAAAATAAGTAAGTTCTTAGACATATACAATCTACCAAGACTGAGTAAAAAAAGAAATGGAAAATTTGAACAGATAAATAAGGAATAAGGAGACTCAATCAATAATAATAATAATGATAACAAAATCTCCCACCAAAGAAAAGCTCTGGAACAGATGACTTCATAGCAGAATTCTACCAACATTTATAGAAGAACTAATACTAACCCTTGTCAAACTATTTCAAAAAATTGAAGTACATCTAAACTCATTTTACAAAGCCAGCATCAAAACATCACATTGTACCCCATAAATATACACAATTCTTATGTATTGATTAAACAGAAATTTTAAAAACTCATTAAGAACCCATTGGGATGGGTTTAAAAGTTATTTGGACACTTTGAAATACAAGATTAGTGAGTTAAAGATTGCTAAATTCAAACATAAACATTTAGATAAAAAGAATGGAATGTGAGATGTTACATATATACATGCATATATAATATATATATAATACACATTATAATGTCTCATATTCTATTTTATTATCTGAATAAAAAAGTGTAGGAATACATATACATATATATATGATTGTCACACTGCCTACCACTCCTTAAGTACTAACATCAGACCAACTTCAGTCGTTTGGAGGTCTATTAGCTTACAAATATGCAACCAGTGTTTTATAAAGGCTTTTGTCTACATCATCTCCATGAATCTTCACAAAAATCTTGTGATGTAGATAGCAATGAAAGTGCTTTTTTTGTTGTTGTTATTTCTGAGATGGAGTCTCACTCTGCTGCCCAGGCTGGGGTGCAGTAGCTCAATCACAGCTCACTACAGCCTTGAACTTCTGGGCTCAAGCAATCCGCCAACCTCAACCTCCTGAGTAGCTATAGCTAGGACTAGAGGTGTGCGCCACCACACTTGGCTGGGTTTTGTATTTTTAGTAGAAACAGCGTGCCACCACATTGACCAGGTTGATCTCAAACTCCTGACCTCAAGTGATTCACGTGCTTCAGCCTCTCAAAGTGCTGGGATTACAGGTATGAGACACCATGCCCAGCCAAGAGTCCATTTAACACTCATTTCTCCAAGATGACTCAGAGAAACTTTCCCCAAGTTAGTCTCCCAAAGTTAGCAAGTTGTAGAATCAAGACTCTAATTAAGTATTATGATTGCAAAGCATGATTTCCCCTCTTGACTACCAGTTCTCACACAATGTAGGGAATATTCATAACTTGGAACTAATTTAATTTTTAAAAAAGAAAACAATAAAATCCTTTAAAGTCACTTGTGACAGAATCTAAATCGATTTTGAATATAAAGTTGAAGTGTATGGGTTAGATATATATCCATATGTACAAAGACTACATAACTGAAAGACCACCTACCTGTGCCTATATTTCTTTCTTTCTTTTTAATTTATTTATATATTTATTTTTGAGATGGAATCTTGCTCTGTCACCAGACTGGACTGCAGTGGTGCTATGATCTCGGCTCACTGCAACCTCCACCTTCTGGGTTCAAGTGATTCTCCTGCCTCAGCTTCCCAAGTAGCTAGGACTACAGGTGTGCACCACCACACCCAACTAATTTTTGTTTTTCATAGAGACAGGGTTTCACCATGTTGGCCAGGATGGTCTTGATATCTTGAACTTGTGATCTGCCTGCCTCAGTTTCCCAAAGTGCTGGGATTACAGATGTGAGCCACCATGTCCAGCCACCTATATCTATTTCTACACCTATACACACTCATATACATGTGAAAACATTTAGTTTAAAAAATAGAAAAGATATACTTTTATGTTATGAAAATACGCTGCTACTGAAAGAAAATTGAAATCTTAAAACTTACAATAATGTGAGCAATTACATCATCAGATTGAAACTCTACATAAACTCACCCAATAAATTAATGCCTTCATTTATAATGAGCTGTCCATGATGCAAGTAGTTCAAAATGGTTTCAAATTATTCAGGGCTTCAGTCAATTAAGAAAACTCCTCTATAATCTTGCTTATTTCTCCAGACACCTGTGCTATCATTATAATAAGGAAATGTCCCCCACAAACAAAAAATAAAGTTAGAAATGTATGAGAAAAAAATTGCTTAATATACCATAATTTTACTCTTAAAACTTGACATTAATAAGTACAGAAGGTCAGGAGTTATAAAGTCAGTAATTTACGAAACAGAACATGAAATATGAAAGCAGTGTGTTACACTAACCTCTGTCCTTAAACGTGTGGGATAGCATACTGTCAGGTTCTTCATTCACTTAACTGTGCCTAAGAATCCATTAGAAAAAACTGATTTCTCTATTTGTCTTTATAAACAAACATATTTAAATCAAGAGTATACTCAATCCCAGCTGCTCTCTCAAAAACATGCTACAACCTGGTGTGAGTAATGCTGGGAAACAAAAACATACAGTAAGTTGACTCTTACCAAGTCTCTTCTAATCGGCCACTTCCTTTGATTTAAATACTGCTTTAGTTTCCTTTCCTTTAAATATTTGTCTATCCTGTTAAAAAGCTATTACATAATAATATTATTGATCTCCTAAACTTATATTTTTCTGTCCTTTAATAAAAGCAGCTGTGGTCTCTACAAATTTCAGTAGCATTTTAATTTTTACTTGTATTGTATGTTTATTACTCAATATCTAAAAAGCATGTTTTAAAAGACTGAGTTCATGCCTTTTATGCTTCCTCTGGAATGAACCAGGTTGTCTTTGTGGCATTCAACTTGGATTATTTTCCCAGCATCTTATTAGTATGGGGCTTTGTCCTTAGAAGTGAGTTTTGGCATTTGATTTTGAGAGTTTATTTCCAGCCCTATCAGATCTTACTGCTAACTACTTGCTGATTAAATTGCTTCTGTCCCTTGTAACCAAGAGTTCCATCTAATGCTCCAAATCTAATTGACTTTTTAAAAATCCACATTTGGGGTACACATGCAGTGCCTCATGCCTGTAATCCCAGTATTTTGTCTGGCTGAGGCAGGAGGATTGCTTGAGCCCAGGAAGTCAAGGTTGCAGTGAGCCATGATTGCATCATTGCACTCTAGCCTGGGTGACAGAGTGAAACCCTGTCTCCAATTAAAAAAAAAAAATCCACATTTTCTTACTTATTATACTACTGTAATTTTAAATTACAAGTAAGTTCCATTTTAAAAATCCATGATTTGTAATAGAATTTCTACCAATTTTGGAGCCAATGAAATAATTTTGCTTACAAAAACATTGATGTTTAAAGTTTTCTAAACATTTGGTTCTAACCATCGAACAAGGAATCTCTAGTCATAAAATAATATAGGCAGGGAGAGAAGTGTAAGATGTGGCACAAGGATACTATCTCACCCTCTGTTTGATACATTCATGTTCTTTAGCTTCATTGTTCAAAACGAACATTCAGCCATAATGCTCTTGATCTGGTTGCTTTTTCTCTGGCCAATCCTACTAGATAATCTGGAGTTTTATTTACATGGGTCGTCCTTTCCCCACTCTGCCTGTCGTTCAACTTGCTAATTGACCACAGGGCTCTCACCACCTGAGTCAGTCTCCAGATCTCAATATAACTTTCCAAGCAGCTCTGTTGGCCAGAGCCAGTAAATGAAACCTACTTGCCCTCCTCAACTAGGTAGTTTCAATTCTGCCTTGCATAAAGATCCCTGATAGAATTCATCTGTGCATTTTTAAATTTATTCAAAAAATATTTTTTGAGACAAGACACACTGGCCACACCTATAATCCCAGCATTTTGGGAGGCTAGACTGGAAGATTATGTGAAGTCAAGAGTTCAAGACCAGCCTGGGCAACATAGCAAGACCCCATCTCTACACGGAAGGATTGCTTGAACTCAGCAGTTTGAGGCTGAAGTGAGCTATGATTGTACCACTGATCTCTAGCCTGGGTGACAGAGACCTTGTTTCTAAAACGGAATGCCTTTTTCAAGGCAAGCCTTACTCTATGTGATCAGGATATAGTGGTGAAGAAAACTGTCTCTGCCTTGTGGAGCTTATGTAAAAAAGGAAACAGGCAACATAGGCATGGTAAGTATTAGAAATAAAAGTGCAGCAAGGAGAGAATAACAGAGAGATCAGAGATGCATTTAAAATGTGGTGGTTAAAAAAGAACTCCCCTGAGGAGGTGACATTTGAAGAGAGACCTGAACGAAGTTAAGGAGTGAGCCATGCACAGATCGGGGGAAGGCAGGTTCTACGTAAAGGGAATGCAAGCCAGAAGCCCTGCTTAGCACTGCATTCCATGTGGTCAAGGAACAGCAAGAAGATGTTTGTTGCTGGAACAAAGTACACAAGGGGAAATGTGCAGGAGTTAAGGTCAGAAACATGGACAGGGCCACATTATGTGGGGACATGGTAGGACTTGTACATTTCACATCTACTACTATGAGCATTTCCCAACTGAGAGAGTGCATTGAGATTAAGAGTTTGGTTCTTTCATTAGTTTGTTTTTACTTTTTCCAATCATATTCAAAAGTAGAGTTGGTTTTATGATGACTAGTTGCCTTCCAGAGATATTTTGTGCATCTATAAAAACATTCTGGCTGGGCACAGAGGCTCATGCCTGTAATCCCAGCACTTTGGGGGTCGAGGTGGGAGGATAACTTGATCCCAAGAGTTGGAGACCATTCTGGGCAACATGGCAAGATCTCATCTCTATTTACAAATAACAATAAAATAAAAAAGAGCATTCCAGTACTATTTTACCTCACGTTTTACACAAATGTTAACATACTGTATACATAGTTTAAAAAAAAAAAACAAAAAGAGAAAAACAAAAACATACTATATACATCATAATTTACCTTGTAAGGAAATTTTGGAAAACTCGGCTCAGGATTCAACAGGAATTGAATAAACATCGCAGAACACACATATACTTTAGCCTCACCCTCCAACCTCCCGGTTAATGTCTGAAAATACACTAAAGGATTTAGAAATACTGCAGTGCTGATTTTAAAAGGTAGCCTAGTCAGCATTTGGATTCAAAAGCTTTGTTAAATCTGAATTCAGTCACAAAGTATATTTATAAACATATTAGGTTAATTCTGAAGAGTCAATGATATTCTTGCTTTAGAATGATAGAAAGGGCAACTGGGAAACTAGAGTTTAGGTCCTTCTGGCTTTGTCACTAACTTTCTGCATAACCTTGGACAAGCCACTTCAGAATGTGAAGGAAGGGAGAGAGGGAAGGAAGTGGGGAGGAAAGGAAAGAAAGGAGAAGGGGATAAAGAGAGTGAGAGAAGAGAGAAAGAGAGGAAGAAAGGAAGGGAGGAAGGAAGAGAGAGGAAGGGAAGGGGAGGGTGGGAGGGAGAGGGGAAGGGGAAGGGAAGGTCTGTTTGGACTTGCTTAGCCTTTCGTGAGACTGGATATCTGTGTATCTGTGTGTGTGGGCACACGTGTGCTTGCACATGTGTGCATGTCTGTGTATGTACATTTGTCTGTGTATGTATGCGTGAGTGTGCACACACAGTAATGAACAAAACAGACAACCCTAAGCCTTTATGAAGCTTCCACTCTAGGAGAAAAGAAACAAATAACATGAATAATTCAAATATATAGTATATTAAATAATAATAAATGCTATGAAGGAAAAATAAAGCAGGAGAGGGAGTAGGAGGAGAGGAGAAAGTGAAGTTTTAGAAAGGGTGGCCAAGAAATGTCCGATTGAGAAAGTGACTTTTGAATAGCGATCTGGAGGTCTGGGAGTTAGAGGCAGAGAGAACAGCAAGTGCACAGGCCAGAGCAGTAACAGCCACATGTTAATGATGGTGGAAGACCAGAGAGAAGAATCAGAGAAGGTGCCTACAACATTTATACTGCGCAAAGCTGCTGTGGAAGCTCTGAACTGCCTCCTGGGCTTTAATTTAAGTCACAAAATAAACCCCTATTTGGTTATGTCATTGTGGATGAGTTGCTCTTACATGCAGCTGAACAGAATCCTTAGTTAATTCATTCATTATTTTAGAATAATTGTAAGCAGGTTTGATACGGTTTGGCTATATCATGAAAATCTGCGGTGCTCCTGTAAGGGCGGGGGTGCATATATACTTTAGGAACGTTACCTCTTCCTGTTGAGATTGGAATCCCTTTACGGAGGAGGGAGGGCGGCCCTTCTTTGCGCGGGGAGTCGTTTGATGGTTTAAAGTCTGTTTTATCCAGGAGACTATATTGCAACCCCTGCTTTTTTTTGTTCTCATTTGCTTGTAGATTCCTCCATCCTTTATTTTGAGCCTATCGTATGTCCCTTCTGCGATGTGAGATGGGCTCCTGAATACAGCAGACCTGACTGGGTTTGACTCTTTAATCTCAGTTTTGCCAGTCTGTGGTCTTTTAATTAGAGCATTTAAGTCCCCTTACATTTAAGGTTAAGATTGATTATGTGTGTCCCTTCCCTTCTTCGCTACACTTCTTATCGCTCTCACTCTCTGCTCGTTAGTTGATGGGCCCGTTTCCTTTCCTAGCCTCAGATGGTCTTTACTTTTGACATGTTTTTGCAATGGCTGGTACCGGTTGTTCCTTTCCATGTTGAGTGCTTCCTTCAGGGTCTCTTGTAGGGCAGGCCTAGTGGTGACAAAATCTCTAAGCTCTGCTTAATCTGTAAAGGATTTTATGTTCTCCTTCATTTAATGAAACTTTAGGTTTGGCTGGATATGAAATTCTTGGGTTTGAAAAATTCCTTTATTCTTTAAGAATGTGTCGACATATTGGCCCCCACTCTCTTACTGGCTTGGAGAGTTTCTGCCGAGACAGATCTGCTGATTAGTCATCGATGGGCTTTTCCCTTGTGGGTAACCCGCTTTCTCTCTGTCTGCCCTTAAGATTGTTTTCCTTCATTTCCACTTTGGTGAATCTGGCCAATTAATGCATCTTGGAGTTGCCTCTTCTCGAGATATCTTTGTGGCGTTTACTCGTATTTCCCTGGATTTGAATGTTTGGCCTGCCCTACTAGTTGGGGAAGTTCTCCTGGAGATTTTATCCTAGGAAGAGTGTTTTCCCAACTTGGTTCCCATTTTCCATCTCACTTTCATCGGCACCGCCAATCAGACGTAATTTGGTCTTTTTACATATCCCCAGTACCTTCTTGCAGGCTTTGTTCATTTCCCTTTTGTCTTCTTTTTCTTTTGGTTTTCTCTTCTCGCTTCATTCATTATTTGATCCTCAATTGCTGATACATCTTTCTTCCAGTTGAATCGAGTCGGTTACTGAACGCGTTGTGCATTTGGTCCCTGAATTTCTCCTGTGTTCACTCGGTTTTTCATCTCTTTCATTTCGTTTAGGGACCCTTCTCTGCCATTAATTATCTGCTAGCAGTCAATTCTTCATTTTTTTTCAAGAATTTTTAGTTTCTCTTGGCTGTATGTAATTCCTCTTTAGTCTGAGATAGTTTTGATGGACAGAAGCCTTCTTCTCTCAATCTCGTCCAAGTCTTCTCGTCCAGCTTTGATCCGTTGCTGGCGATAGCTGCGCTCCTTATGCCGAGGGGGCATTGCGTTTATTTTTTTGAATTTCCGGCTTTTCTGCCCTGCTTTTTCACCATTCTTTGTGGTTTTTATCTGCCTCTGGTCTTTGATGATGGTGACGTACTGATGGGAGTTTTGGCGTAGGTGTCCTTCTGTTTGATAGTTTTTTTTTCCGTTCTAACAGTTCAGGACCCTCAGCGTGTAGAGTCTGTTTGGAAC